GAGTTGCAAAGCAATTCCCTGCCAGGACAACAGAGGGCGTAGCGCTGTTCTGTGGTATCCTGTTATGTATCCGGTCCAAGATAGTGTTTATATTGGGTTTTTTTAAGCGACTTTTTAACACAGACAAATTTGTCACTCATCCTCCTCCACCTCTTCATGCGCTCGCCACCACTAAACCCACGTTTCCCGTCATTTCCATCCACAAATAAAACGCTTGTTGCGTATCTTTTCACTCCTCCAGTCACTCATTTTTAGAGTTTTTTCGTGAGGTATTCTTCAAGCTGCTCCACATCTGCCGCTAGATGTCCTCGGCTCTCTTTATGTTTTTGAGGGCGCAATGGCGGCGCTGTAGATAACAGTGGCGTCCTGACCGTCCTGACCAATCACAAGCTTATGTTTTCCATCCCGATGGACGGATGATTAGAACAGAGAGCTCGACTCCGTCCGTCCTTGTGAGCCTGTCGGAGAGCCCTCGAAAGGACGGATAATGGCGTTGCTTGCGTCCGTCCCGACGCAGACAGAGAAGTAGGTTTGATGCTGAGCGGCACTTAATTCAAATTGTATGGAGCTCTACAGCATGGGGGGAGGCAAACGTAGCAAAAGTGTTGCATACATTTTATTAGAGAACAGAGTGAGACATCACTTTTATGGATTACTTAAAAAAAATCACACATCCTTTTTGAAAGTAGGAAAATTCTGCATTGCAGCTTTAAGAAACATCAGTGGAAAGTTGACATTAATTGGTTTAGTACATTTAACTTTTCAGTTTTTACAGTGTAGATTTCTGTTTTGTTTTGACACATTTAAGAAGAAAAACACTCAGAAGTTTATGCTGAAACTCAGGCCTCTAATAAATGTTTTATTTTCTAATTTGGATTCATTTTCCTCAAACTCCATTTGTTATCCTCAGTGAAAGATATGAGGTCATGCTGTATTTTAATCAGAACGAGTTGCACTTTTACACACGGGATTTCGATCACATGTGAGTGGCGGGGCCCAAAATGCACACGGCTCCTACTTTTGTTTGTTTGGGATTCACATGGCTGGCCGTTTTACAGGGAGAGAACTCAAGTGAAGCGCTCCCGTGTAATTCTGAAGGCAATTTCCCCTCAGTCAAGTGGCAGAAACCCTCTTCAGCTGAACAACTTCCTGCATTTAGCGAGTGCTCCCACTGACACCCCAGCTCCATGGCTCCCCTTTCGGAGCTGGCATCGGTCCTTTCAGGGGAGCGCCAATAGCTTTAATGTTCAGTTCAGTTCATTTTCATTTCAAACATTTCACACATGTATCAACACAATGTAAAAACACACCAAAATGTGACTTCACAGGCTTCTTTGCATCTTCGTTTACAGCTGTTTTGTTTTATTTTTTTTTCCAGCTGTGGCACCTATTTTTTCACTGGTGATTATTTAGAGCTGACAGGAGTTGATTGGAGAGCTGATGGAGCTTCTAAAGATGACTGTTCAAAATAATAACAAGTGTTAAATTAACTCTGAGCGTGAAGTCCCAGATGCTCCCACAAAGTGCTGATGTTTGTACTCTGAGAGCAATTAACTGTGTGAATCTGTATGCTGTTAAGGATCTGAAGAAGGGGAAAAAATTGGAGAGAAAAAAACTTGAGCATATGAACTAATTATGCAATCACAGAGCAACTGTAGTGATTGCACATTTCCTTTTTATTTCCTTTTATCCATCTGAGCTGCTTTCCTTATAAAAATCTGTGGCCTTGATCTACATGTTTTACCATTATAATGATATTAGTTTGTGCATGTGGGTCTGATGTTCTACAGGCATGTCAGACTGCCGTAGTGCTTTTAGCCTTGGCCTATTATTGCTTCTGCTGGGCTGTGAGCAGGCTGGAGGTTCCCACAGGAGACCTGGAGGTCCTTAGGGAGCCTATTAATCTATTATGTTCACCTCCAGAACCACGTTAAGAACAACAATCGCGTAGTAGCTGGAGGCTGAGCCACAGGAGGCTACAGCTGCTTAGAGGACGACTCCGTGTGGCTGGAGGAGCCGATCAGCACCATTCCCACGTGCCTTGCTCAGTGGTCACACACAGAGAAATACAGTGATGGGGTCAAGAGTAAAAGAATGGCAGGTTGAAATGCAATGTGACGCTTAAGAAGGATAAAAAGTGATCTGATTACAGTATTTTGGAAGAGATTAGTGTCATAAAACAAAAACAAAAGTGGTAATGGTGTATTTGTTTCATTTAAAACTTAATGTCATTATTATAAAAAATATCTTTAAACTCTCATTAGCATCCTCTTTCGCTATATTTATTTATTTTAGAATCACATTATTTAGCTTAAACAGTATCATAGCTTAAATCGTATTTATCAGTATAATCCCCAGTAAAGAAATTTAACGTGATTTATTATTTTCTAATATAATAATCAGCCTCTGCTCACCTTAACCATATGGGATTTATTTATTTTTTCACTTTTTTTAATTGTCTTCAAAATACTGCAGGTATGATGCCAAACAAGTACATCTTATGAAGACACATGGAACAATAGAATAATTGCCATAATCATATAAATTTTTTTGCATTTTAATTAGCCTTATGAAGCTCAATTAAGCTCTTCAGTATAAGCGCCCATTCAGTAAACAGCTGTCCACCTGTCCTGTCTTTCCTGGGAAAAGGCTGCAGTGCCTGTTCACGCCGTGGCACCATCACCAAACTGGATATGGGGGTGTCAGATGGGGCCCTTTGCAGAAAGGGGGTGGAGGGGTGGGGGTGGGGTGGGGTAATTTTGCTCAGCATGATGGCAGCTAATCAAGCTATGCAAATAGCTTGGAAATTAAAAATACCAAAGTGAAGAAAATGATTAAATACCTAATAATGAGTATAAATATGCATGATTTTATATTATGGAAGAGAATTTTTGTTTATTTAAACAAACTTTTAATTTTCTCTTGAAAATGATCTCACCCATGCAAAATAAATGAGACTGCCCTTCTATAGAAGAGCAACCTGGTGAAAAGTTTGTGCAGGAGTCTTGTTACGACATGCGTTTAATCGCTGAGCGAACATTTGAATGTGATGCTGCAGGAAGATGGGCCTTCTAATTTTGTGACCGCTCCCTCTAGTGGACATGGTTGATACTTATAGGAAGAGCAGGGTTGGATGCAAACTGCCATGTTGAGTCATGGCATTGCACAGTATTTCAGTGTGTGTGTGTGTGTGTGTGTGTGTGTGTGTGTGTGTGTGTGTGTGTGTGTGTGTGTGTGTGTGTGTGTGTGTGTGTGTGTGTGTGTGTGTGTGTGTGTGTGTGTGTGTGTGTGTGTGTTTCTGCAGGTGTTCACACTTTGATCTTCAGTTCTTTCCTTTAATTATCATTGTTATGGGTTTGTCTGTGTTTAAACATGTCTATATTAATTAGTAAGCATGCCTTTTATAACCTAAACAGTAGAAAATATAATATTTTTCACACAAATGGCTTAAATTAAGTTGATTTTTTTTAAATGTGTATTCATTTAGAGGATGCTTTCACAAAAATGGTGTAACAGTTTAACCTAACCTGCACGTGTTTGGTCGGTGGGAAGAAACCAGAAAACAACATTCTAACATAGTATAGCTATGACAATATAGTGGAGATTCATTAAAACAAACAAAAAAATTTGGATAAAGTGGTTCTCTAGCATTTGTCTATAAACCTCTGCCAATTAACCAGTTTCTTCCCGAAAGCAACTATTGGACCATCTGGATGACTGTCACTGAACCGCCATATTTCCCTGGGTCTATTCATTACGCACTTGTGTACTTTGCAACAGAACACCACTGGTGTGAGAGGTTTGCAGTGTTTGCATTCAAAACCTAGCTTGTTATGTAGATTCGCTATAGCGGCTTTAAATCTGCAACATGCTCACTGTGAGGCAACAACTTGCAGTCTTTTAGCTGCCGGCATGTGGGAATGTTAGGTGCAAAATCTTTGAGTAAATTTTGCACATTTTTGCAGAGATACGGCCATGGCCAAATGTTTTCAGAATACTGCAACTATTATTTGCCACAAACGTTGCTGTTTTTTTCTGTGTCATTGGTAGGATTTATACAACCCTTCAAAAATGATCCACTAAAAGGTTGCAGAAAAGCAGATCTCACATATCTTGAACCTGGTGGACTCGGTTTCTTTACCTACTTGTTCAGGGTTGGGAATCTTTTCTCCCACAGTCATTTGGCTCAATCACACAGGGACACACCTGTAAATGCAGAGTTGGATGCACCAGTTGCTCTAACATACATGTTTTTGAACTTCCACAGATAAAGGCTCCAGCTCAAAGCCGAACCTGCAAGGCAACAGCACCAACCGTTCAAACTTCATTTAAATACGGTAGTTATCCATCCATCTTCTGAACCCGCTTTGTCCACGCAGGGCCGCGGGGGGGCTGGTGCCTATCTCCAGCGGTCAATGGGCAATCAGGCGGCGTACACCCTGGACAGAGAGCCAGTCCATCGCAGGGCAACACAGAGACACACAGGACAAAAAATCATGCACACACACACACACACACACACACACACACACACTCACAACTAAGGACAATTTTGACAGACCAATTAACCTAACAGTCATGTGTTTGGACTGTGGGAGGAAGCTGGAGTACCCAGAGAGAACCCACGCATGCACAGGAAGAACATGCTAACTCCATGCAGAAAGATCCCAGGCCGGGAAGCGAACCCAGGACCTTCTTGCTGCAAGGCAACAGCTCTAACCACTGTGAAGCCAATTTAAATAGTTATAAATATGTGTATTAAACTTGTTCTTTTCTGGTTTGTCTGCAAAAAGAAAACGTGTTCACTGTAATTTTGGCTACACAGAGAACAATTACATAGTGAATATTTCAGTTATTCATTCAGTTAAGTGAGAGAATTATTTTAATCATTAGATCATGAAGCTGCTGCCTCATGATGCTCAGAGAGCAAGTCGTCTGAGAATGAAAAAGAATAAAAACCAAGCAGTTAATGACTTATTTCATGATTTCAGAGACTCGGATGAGCTTTCACTGTAGGGTTCCTTTATTGTTTGAAGTTATACATTTTATGACAAAACCATCCTTTATTATCTATCTTATTTGGGCCATTTAAAAATTTATCTTACTAAAAAAACTGAATAACTAAGCTAAATGTGGTGAATATATTCAAACTTGTAAATAGAAGATAAAATGGTCTAAAATCCCAAACACTTTTTAACAAGAGAAAATACACATTTAAAACCAATCAACATTTATCTGGTTAAATCAGAAAACCCCAACAGGATGACTTTAAGAATGAACTCATTAAATGTTCTTTTCTTCTGGCTTTAAATGTGTGTCTTTGGTTTGAACCGACTGCATAAAATCTAAATAAACCCCGTTTCAGTAAGTAAAATCTTACTTTTTAATCACAGGCCTGTAACACATCCAGCTCCAGACTGACCTCTAGTGGGTTTTCGGTGGCAAAACCTGTAAAAGCTGTTTTTTCCTCTCCCTCTCTACCGTTTTATTTAGTCAGAAGAACAGAAGTGTAAAAAATGTAAATATAAAAATACACAGTTTGGCAGCTGGTGCGAGGAAAACGTGGAACTTTTTGAGCCTGCAGGATTTCAAGTGCTGGTTCTGCTTTTATATTTTGTTTTTTTTTGTACGTTTAACTGTTCAACTTGTCGGATTCCTCTGACTTCACAGCAGTCAGCTGCTCCTCGTGACCTGCCTCCTCACCTGGCACCTGAGATGGAGAAAACATCAATCAGTGATCTTCTTTATTTTCCTTTATATTTATAACACCTAAATGGATTGTGTCTGCTTCCAGTTTAGCTAATAATTAGCACTATTCTATTGTAATCTTTAAAAATGTTGTCAAGACTAAAAATCTGTAAAAGATGAATTGCTGTCATTTATAAGAGGAAAGAAATTTTAAAAAAGCAAATAAAATGTAAAATGATGTGATGTTTTTAAATCTGGCATCATTTGGTGATTTTATGCATATGAATAAACAAATTGAAGTTAAATGTATTCAAAATAATGGGTGAAATGAGGACACATCACTTTGACAAATACTAGATGATGAGAGAAATCTAACTTCATTCTAGCAGATTTCAACTGAGTAAAATACAAAAGATCATAAAATCATGAAAACTTATGGTACTAATTATGTTTTAGATTCAATGACGTGGAAAATGGTCTTTAGTGACCAAACAAGGACCCTCACTCCTTGTTGTGGGGAATTTGTGCCCTCTGGTGGTCAGAAAGGCTTTGATCTGACGTGTTTTTGGTGTTTCATATCTGCAGTGTCAGTGTGACTTTAGAGCCATTCTTGTTTTGTGGAAGCTAGATTTAAAAATCTCTAACTTTCAAATTAATTATCTGTAATTTTGCAATAATCAAGATGGAAGCAGAATGTTTTATTAAAGCTAAATACCATCATCAGCATTAAAATCATCATACTCACCTCCCAGTAGAGGCTATCTTCGTAGCAGGTGGTATCATGGGGAGCTCCGAAGACGGGCAGCTTCAAAATGAAACCTGAACACAAGCGGAAGAAGTGTCTCAGCGTGTTTGATCTGATCTGCTTTGTAAATAAACTTATGAGAGTTGTTCAACTGCTGCATTATGTGACACCTACCCACAATAAGTCCACCAATCAGGGCAATGCCCAGGGTGACGGCGAGGGAGACAGCTTGTATGCCACCCTGATAAGATGCTTCTCTTCCATCTGCCACATCAGGAAAAACCCTTCCCAAACTGTAAAACAAAGAATCAAGCTAGTTCAAAAGTTTTTGTGAAAATCTAACAGATGGATTTTTTTTAGTCCTCTAAAAAACATGCTACAGCCAGCGCAACACAAAAAGTGAGATTATTGTTTGTTGGGTTTAAAGATTGTAACTTTTACCCATTCCCATAAACTTCTTTGGTTGCCAGAGAAGCTGTAACTGCTCCCACGATGGCCCCCAGGATGCCGGGCATGCCGTGCAGGTTGTGAACCCCACAGGTGTCCTGGATCTTCAGCTTCTCCTCCAGGATGGGCTAAAGGAAGCATGAGCAGACAAATTATTCTCAATCCACACATCTAAAAGTAGTGGTCCTACGTATGTAGGCGGTCCCTCTTTTATCTCATCTGTTGGGTATTTGGACTAACACTAAATAACTACAGGCTTACTGAAAGGTATTTGAAACCCAGAACAGAGATGATGCCGGCCAAAAAACCGACAATCATGGAGCCGAAAGGCGTCAGCATCATTTCACCAGCGGTTCCAACAGCGACTCCACCGGCCAGGGCAGCGTTTTGAATGTGGACCTGTAAAAGAAGGCAGAACAAGTCTGGTTAAGTGTCTGTTAAATGCAACAGATCAGCATCAGAAGATTCTAGATGGCAAGCAAAGATGAGACATACGCAATAAGTTGGTACATAGATAAATACATTGTCACTCTTGGGTGTTTTACAGTTAAGAGATCTTATTACACTTATTACAGTAATATTTTTCCAGCCTTATAAGAAGTGTAGTTATTTGCCGTCTCACTATTAGCTTGCTGTCATAGTTTTGAACAATCCATTAAAGGAAAATGCGGTGGCTTCTTAGAGATGCAAGAAATAACTTATGGGTCACTCCTATTTACTGGCTTTGTTTCTTTAAACGTCTCTGGAGCTTTTTGGCTACAAACGCCTGCGATGCTGCGTTAGCTTGCTGCAGATTCAGCAAACTCACAAACTCACAGAGTGTAAACAGTAACTGTGTCCCTCTTTTTTTAAAGAACAACTGACAAATCCCAGCCGGCTGAGAAGGAAATTTGTTTCAGTGTGATCTTCCTTCCAACATGATTGAGACATTAGACTGTTTTGTGATTATTTCACAGTAGAATTTCTACATATTGCACCTTTAACCCTTTTCCCCAATCTGATATGGTTGTCTGTAAGATTCTAAGAAATCAGCCTCTTTAATAGGATTGGTGCTCTTCAGATTGCTGCTGTATTGAATACTACACCCTCTGCTGGCAAATCAGAGTACCGCAGGCAGAAGTGACAATTTTATGAATTATTAGTGTATTGATATATGCGTGAATGTGTGTGTGTGTGTGTGTGTCCGTTTATGTGCATGCATGTGTGTGTGCATGCATGCGTGCGTGTGTTAGTCACACTACTGGAAGTTAGTTACACACAAAGAAGATGCCATCCTGGAGAAAACTTGTAATGTGCATATGTTAGTCAGCACTATTATTTGCTTGTTTTATGATCAGGACATGAACTTTATGTTGAATTTAAAGCAAATGGCAACAAAATATAGGCGTCTACACAGGTGCGTCTACAGGTGTGTGTATTGAACACACAGCAGACAGTGACTTGTCCATTAGAGGAATAAAGCATTGAGGGTTTGGGTTGTGATGTCTGTCTTCAAAGTTGCTCAGTTTGCACATCCTAGGAAAATGTTTTTTTATCATGAATTGACCTCACCATGTCCAGCTTGCCATCATGAGCTGTGAGAGAAGACATGGCATAGGATGACAGCGTGCAGGCAGCCAGGGAGTAGTAGGTGTTCATGGCTGTGCGGTGCTGGGCGTCTCCATGCTCCGTGACGGCAGAGTTGAAGCTGGGCCAGAACATCCACAGGTAGATGGTGCCTAAGTGGAAAAAAAAGCAAATACACGATTTAAGATTTTATCGATAAATTAAGTTAAATGTAACACTAGACCTTATGCAACGTGCTGATTTTTTTAAGACAACAAAGAAATGGATGAAAACTGACACCATCCAAGACTGAACAATTATTCTCTTTGTTGTCTGGAGATCCAGACAACTTCTCTGTACATAACCTGCTGTAGCCATTTGGCAGGTTGTGAAATTTTAAGCCTGGGTGCAGCCTTCTAATATAACTAATCCTAGAGATCTTCAGCTTTATGGTGTTTACCTATCATAGCGAACAAGTCAGAGTGGTAAACAGAGCCGTTCCTGTGTTTGCTCTTGTGCAGGTTGGGGCGGTACAAGATTCGAGTCACCATCAGACCGAAGTAAGCTCCAAATGTGTGGATGGTCATGGAGCCTCCAGCATCTCTGGTCTGAAACAACATTAATTTATTGGCGAAATCAAAGATAGATAATTTGCATATTTTATAAATCAGGACAGGAAAATATATTATAAGGTGTTTAATCAATTTTTGTTTTCAATGACTAAATAATCAGCGCTACTTACCCCTAGAATGCTCAGCAAGATGAACTCATTGACAGAAAACAGCGTGACCTCAAACATTGCCATGATCATCAGCTGGACTGGGCTGGTTTTACCCAGAACTGCTCCAAATGAGATCAGAACCGAGCCAGTGCAGAAATCAGCATTGATCATACTGGGGGAAAAAAAAATGATCACATTTCTGGAAACAGTTAAAGAAGTAGTTTAATTTTATTTTACATGCTTGTAACTGTGTTTGCTGAAACACCAGAAGATGGTTTGCTGAAGTCATTTTCAGCTGTGCAGCATCATAAATGAGTTTAAAGAGCAAGTCACCCCTACCAGAGTATTACTCCACTCCCACTTCTTGTTTGAAAAATGCAACAAATGCTGTTACCTAGCAGACCGAAAGGGCGGAGCCACTAACAAATACACACACACACACACAGGCTCACAACAACATTGTGACATCATATGGTACCAGCTGACATTCTAGGGTATTTCTTGGCCAATAGCAATGGCAGATTTAATTTCAAATGCAGTGCAGAGTTTTTACCTGACAACGGCACAACACTGACAGTTTTAGGCAGAAAACTCAAATTTTAACAAAAATGCACTAAAGTGCTAAACTATTGACTTCACGTGTCTGCAGCATGATTGGACACGCATTTATGTGGTTTATCAGAAAAAAAGTTGATTTGGGGATGACTTGCTCTTTAAGCAAACTCACAAGTTTCACGGATGGTTTTAGTATTTTTTCCACTGCCTTAAATCTGCAATTGGCAAAAATGAAGTAAGAATGACATCCTGTGGTAAAATTTGGGTACTGCCGCCTATTTTCCTAAAAAATAGATGACTTTCTTACTACCATTCTGTAAGTTTCGCGGCTGTTGCCAGATCAGCAGCAAAGATTCTAGATCACAAGCAAGGATGAGTCCGACATAGTAAGATGACTGTCATATTTGGTGTTAGCACTCTTGGGTGTTTTACGGTTGGGAGCACTTACTGCACTTATTTCGGTAGTATAACTCTAGCATTAGAGGGAGTGCAGCTGCTTGCCGTCTTGCTGTTAGCTTACTATTACAGTTCAGAATGACTCAATAAAGAAAGCTCTGCTCCAAACTGACTCATTATTCACTTCACACATACATTTCACTGTAATATCAAGTTGTTAGTAATTGAAAAAGAAACTTGAGATAGCTTTAGAGCCAACTATTTGTCTCTAATTCACTGTTAGCATTGTTAGTTCAACTTGGAGGCGATGGTGGCACAGGAGTTAAGTGCTCGCCCCGTAATCGGAAGGTTGCAGGTTCGAGTCCCGCTCAGCCTGTCGCTGTCGTTGTGTCCTTGGGCAAGACACTTAACCCACGTTGCCTGCTGGTGGTGGTCGGAGGGACCGGTGGCGCCAGTGCTCGGCAGCCTTGCCTCTGTCAGTGCGCCCCAGGGCAGCTGTGGCTACATTGTAGCTCATCCCCACCAGTGTGTGAATGGATGAATGACTGATTGTGTTGTAAAGCACCTTGAGGGGTTCCAGGACTCTAGAAGGCGCTATATCAAATACAGGCCATTTACATTTACCATTTAACATTAGCCTCTAGCCTGCTTCACCCGATATTGAAGTAAAACAAAAGGATGCCATGTCTTCCTAGGGATACAAAAAATTACTTCTGGGTCGCTCCAGTTACTAGCTTTAGTTCTTTAAACAACTCTGGAGTTTTTTGCCTGCCGATGTTGAATTACAAATGGTGCTGCAGTGTTAACTCTGCGCAGACGCGACAACCTCGCTTGCTAACAGATTGTAAAATATTTTGTACCTCTTTTGATTTTTTGGAAAGGAGAAAAACTGACAACCCACAAGCTGGCTGAGAAAGAAATCTGCTCCAATGTAACCTTCCTTCCAACATGGTTCAGACATTAGACCGTCATCTTCAATCACTTTTGATGGAACTCTTATACTACAAAAAATGGTTTCTAAAAAGTAAAAGATAAATAAGGCTAATTTTTTGGCATTTCATCTCATTTTCAGTCTAAAATGAAAATGCTCTTCTCTAGTGAAAAAGGATTACTCAAAATAGGGTAAATTTTCTTAATTATATTTTCTTGTTTTGAGTAGAATAAAAATCTGACATTGGGGTCAGCAAAAGTTGCTTGCGAATCAATGCATTTGTGGTGGACTCTAGGAATGAATGCCTTGTTAAGTGGTACTTGGGGGAAAAAATGCACCGGTGCACCATTTGCAGGAACTAGAAGTTACCCACATCACAGCTGAGCTTCAGGCGGCAGATTTTGGAGTCTTATTTCCTGATATTTGGGCCTCTCGCCTTGGATACCAGCAACATGACTCCATCACTGACTTGCAACTTGGATGTTACAAGCCTGGAGGAGCTTCTGCCATGTGCTTAAGATGCTAATGCTAATGGTTAGCTGCTAGTCGAGACATCCTCGGCTGTTTCCCGGACTTTTAAACAACAACAGCCTTTGCGAGCCAAGATGGGTGAATCCAAGCAGCCACTTGGTGTAGAGCGGTCAGCTTTTCAAAACCTAGCATTTCAATGGTTATTTTCTCTCAGACGCTAATGCAGGAGATGGGTGTTTTCATGTTCAGCCTGCATGAAAACCTCATAGTCACTGGTTATTATCAGAAATAATCTTTACAACAGTTTTTTTTAGTGTTCCACACTTTTGGATCTAGCAAAATAATCAAGTTTTATTTATTTGCAACTTTTGCTTACCCCATTGAGATGTTGTTTTACTCAAAACAAGAAAAGTGGTCATATCATATTTAAAAACAGTTACCTTATTTTAAATAAAGCTGTTTTTCTAGAGAATAATTTATTTTATTTTTAGACTAAAAATAAGATAAAATGTCTAAAAATTAAGCTTTTATAAAACTTGCTTAGAAATCAGTTTTTGCAGTGTTCATGTTCATCACACACCTCTCTACTCCAATGTGGATCTTGCCTCCGTGCATGCCATGGAAGAAGCCCTGCATGAGTGTGGCCCACTGCAAGGAAAAGGCTGCGATCAGGAAGTTGAAGCCCACGCTGCTGAAGCCATAACGCTGAAGGAAGGTCATGAGAAAACCGAAGCCAATGAAGATCATCACGTGCACATCCTGGAAACCTGCACAGTGCAGAAAACATCTGATGATTCTGGAGACCAACAGGACAGCCTTGTACATTTGTGCATTTTCCTAAAACAAAAAGCTAAAATGAAGAAACGTGGCTTTGTGTGCTTAAGACTTTGGCAAAATTTTATTATACAACGTTCTTTCACCTGAGAGGATTTTTGTGCTGTATTTTGTTTGCATCTCGTTACTAGCTAGTTTGGAAAAATACACGTTTTACTCTCTTTGTCATTTGATCTTTGTTTATTTTTTTCTTTTTCTTTTGAACATGCCAACAGTTTGACAGGTAAATGTCAGATTCATATCAAAACAATGTTCGCAATCATCAACAAAAAGTACCAAGAATTTGGATGTTCTGTTACTGGTAACAGGAATTCTCAGAGAGTGCAGTTGCATAAACTTCCCTGAACTGGGAAATCAGGCTCTGCTGTGACTCAGACCGTCTGCAGGGTGACTCATTCTAGGTATTGGTTTAATGCTTGAAAACTTGCAGTTTGATGGTTGTCTGCTTGAAGCTATTTGCTATTCAAATAGTACAAAAATGTGTGAGATTATACTTTTACATAGGAGGTCACTGAACACTTTAATAAGAGATAAGGACTAAAAATGTTAGATCAAAACTAATCTTGTCTATTTTCTGTACCCTTTCCTGGTTCACACAGTTTTGACCACAGCTCATTATTTGTCCCAAACCACCATTCATAATATTGCTTTGTGCTGCAAATGGTGTCGCCATGGTAACTGTTAATTGGCACAGCCAAGCGGAGGTCTTTCCACCGTCCCAGTAGGCTTTTGGCCCAGATACACGCAGTTCCCAGTGGACTGGACTCATGTTGGGTAAAATCATCAGATTCATTTAGAAAACAATTATATTTCCTATAATCTTTGGCCATCACATGGCAGTGAAAATCATCAAACAAAATCTAAATTATTTTAGTGAATACATAATTCGTTGTGGTCGTCGTCTTCCTTCGCTTATCCGGGTCCGGGTCGCGGGGGCAGGATCCCAACTAGGGAGCTGCAGACCGTCCTCTCCCCAGCCACCTCCACCAGTTCCTCCAGTAGGACCCCAAGGTGTTCCCGGACCAGAATGGAGATGTACCTCTCCAACGTGTCCTGGGTCGACCCGTCAACTCCTTTCGATCCGGAGGAGCAGCGGTTCTACTCCGAGTCCCTCCCGAATGTCCGAGCTCCTCACCCTATCTCTAAGGCTGAGCTTATTTATTTGCCTAAATAATTTATGCCAGAATGTCTAAAATAACAAACATCATCACAAAGTCCATTAAAACCAGATTAGACTGTTAACTTTTGCAGCTGAATGCAGCACATCCAGCCTGTGATCTTCTGAGCAGGAAGGAGACTCGTAAAGCTTGTTTCAGTCAGTTAAACTTCCTTGTTTTACAGGTGCACAAAAACTATACAGTACACAAACTAGAACACGAGCAATAGTGGTTAGTTGCTGCAGAGAATGCAGAGTTTGGGCAAGTCTTTGTTTACTGTGCAAGTTGTTTTTTTCCAAGCAGGCATTGAGGATAAGGTAACATGAAGGTGAACTTTTGTTTATAATACTAAGACAGTATAAGGGTCCGATTGAAGTGTCTGACATCAAGAAATGCTACAAGCCTCTTCTCTCTGAATACATTTTTAAAAAGCATTTGCCCTTCACTAATATGGAACAAAGATATTTGCCCAGGGTTAAAATAATCTTTTCTGTAGGTTGTGGTATTCTACGTCTGACTGTTAAGTAATACGTTGGCACAAGAACACATCTTAAAAATGAAGAAGGTTCACCTCAGTAAGGTCAGTGACCTGAGATGTAGGCCTGAAATGTTTATTTGCTTTTTAGCCTCGCGTTGGTGGAGGCAGCAGGCTGCATCTTCGTTCACATGCTTGCTGCTGCACAGCATGTAGTACTGGACGGTTCCACTAGAGGGCACAGTAGAGAACTCAGACCAGATGTAGTCCCGGGTTTGTAGGGTACAACCAAAACAAACATGGCATCAATAGAAGAGATCAGTAGCTGGTTAACTTTCAGATTGTGGCAGAGTAAAAGCCATAAGCGGTATCGTAGATAGAATTAAAGATGTCTAAATCAGAAATGGAGTGTGTCTCACTCATTTTGTCAACGCTGCCTACTTGTTACTCGTGTATTGCAGCTTGCGAATGCATCATGTTACTTTTGAGGGACGTGCCCAACAACGCATCAAATCAATGCAAGTTAAGCAAGGCCGCCATTTTAAACACACTTACCGGTATGCATTGTTTAAAAGCCTTAGATGATAACCAAACTGTTTTGGTGCTGACCCCATTGTTATGGTCAGCCGTTATATCAGAAATTAGCACAAGTAGGCAAGGATTCATTTTCCTAGCTGTAGTCGAACCTGCATCACATGTGCAGTATCAGGCATCCATCTTAACTCCTTTCCTCCTACTTATTTTCTCCTCTCCTGTTCTGCCCCTTAGTGGTAGACACAACACCCATCTTGTCTCAAAAGCTGGGCGTACATTGTGCGACTTTTTCACTTTTTTGAGCCAATTTTCTAGTCGTGCGAGAATCCACGACATCGGGGCGAGTTTTTGCCGAGCGGTCGTGTAGTGTACAGGGGGTTACGAGAGGCGATTAACACCACGTGACCAGCTGCCGATCAGCAGTCGTGAGGTCGCACGGACTGCTGGCGTGTTTAAAATTTTGCTCGTCCCTCGTGAGGGTATCGCACTGTTGAAGCGGCGCTGCGAGCAGCTGCGACCCAAAAAGTATCAGAACCGCTCACGGCGCATGCGCAATCCTGCATCAACGCCGCTCGCTATTTCCCTAATAACACACGCTGTTCGTTTTTGTTTCTACATGTTTTTTAACTCACAAAGATTGTCAAGAAAGCATGTTTGTCGTGTTCATGTCAAATTAAACTGATCACAAAACACAGATTTACTTTATTTCGTTTTCCTCATCCAACCCCCATAAAGCCCTGTGTGTCCTGCAGCACTCCCGAAGGACAACAGGCTAAACAAGACAAAAAAGTCTGACGTGTTGTGTAAAAACTGCTATTTTTAGCATATTTTTAGGGCCGACGTGTTGCTACCAGACGTACAGTGTGAGCAGTCAGGTCGCATGCGAGAACTGGGTCGTGCAGTGTGAGCGCCTGGCTCGTGAGATCTGCCCTGCGAGGAAGTCGTACAGTTTGAGCTGAAGCTGAACGCTGCGAGTGAAAAAGTCGCACAGTGTCCGCCCGGCTTTAGATTACACAAGGATTCAGGTACAGGCTGGAAGATCTCACCATGCTAGCCAGACACAGACAGGATAATGGAGCCGTAGCTCAGGCAGGTGACCATTATTGTCAGGAATGTGTTAAATCATCTATGGTCAAGCCACACGGATGCCTGCAGCATCAGGACCCAGTGGCAATAAACCACGCTAGTATGGAAGTTTTGTCAAAGAAAATGAAAACTCATCATCGAGCAAACAGAGAAACCCCATCTTCTCAACATTAGCTTGAGGACTTCACCTAAACGCAACAAAGATAACCCACAATCTGTTTTTGTGTTTGTCATTGCAAAGTTTTCAGTCTGTGTGAAGGGAGGTTAAAGTACTTGTTGATTAAGGTAAATTAGGTTAATCATTCTTTGAAGGAAGCTGATCAATGGGAGAAAATTTGGCAATGTTGAATGTTTGCAGTCATGCTAACAGTTTGGTTAACTGAACTTTAGCACTGAGACCTTTTCTAAAAAGCTGACCTGCAGACAAACAGACTTACTGATGTAATCTCATCCTGAAATCTGCATTCTTAACCCAAGAAAGAAGAATAAAGAGGCAATAGAAGAGTCATGGCCAATAAGAGGCCACACGTTTGCATATAATAAATATTAACCCTCTGGAGACAGGTGTTTTTTGCAACGTTAAAATCTACCTACCTGGTTACTCCACATATGTATTTCATGAGCATTTGTTAACTCAGAAGTACCTCTGAAGAACTTAGTTGCTCGTTCTTTTATCAAAACTTATTTTGAGCCTGAGAGGGTTAATGAGTTAGGCTCGTAATCCAGTCGTTCCTCCACTTCTCCAACAAACTTCTACCCCTGAAACAGCAGCGCAAGAGCTTGTTTTCCCACAGAGATCGACTAACATGCTTCATTCTAGAGACCAAATCGGAGAAAGAACTTTTGTGTCGTAAGAAAACAAATCACATTCAAACTAATTCCACCAGCTAACATGACATTTCTTAAAATGGTTAGCAAATTTTTGATGCTCCCATTAGCTTGAATTATTTTCAGATATTTGTCTAATCTTTCTTGACACAGTCAGCGTTTCGTTGTTTTTTGGGGCAATCTTTTTTATTGAATAAAGTTTATGCTTTATATAATCTTTCACTTGTTGGAAGGAGAACAGCTGGCGACAACAGCCTAGAGTTTCCCTTATAATAGTCCATTATTAGGGTAATAAGTGACCTAACGGACCCAGCAGGTAATCATCATCTCTCCAAAGGGAAGGGGTGAAACTATAGGTGAGTCATAAAGGCTTTTATCAGGTGCAGTAAAACCATCAGAAGTGCTGATGGAGGCGCAGGTCTCCATGTGTAAACTCATGGCAATGACAAAGTAACTTTTTGCATACAAAAATAGACTGTAGTTATCGAATTTGACCACAAGATGTCATTCTCACTTCATTCTTACATACTGCACCTTTAAATATTTGTTCACATCTTAAATTACCTGTTTAATAAAATATATTCATATTAATTATAAATGTGAATTGTGTGATTGTTGTGTTGTGCCTTTGAAATATAAATATGCACTGTTTAAAAAACGTAAAACTGTTTTTTATATTCAAAACTGTGTTTTATTGGATGTGGGAAGTCCATAAAATTGTGTGTCGCCTCATAAAATACCTCAAAGTAAACAGCTAAGTACCTCCGGCCAGGTAGAGTCCTAATGCAGTTTTATGAATTTTAATAAGAAAGGAGAGTTTATTTATCGTAATTTATAGAATTTTCTCCACCTGAGAGTGAATAGTTGGGAAGAAGTCATCCGCACTTTCTTATTTGAAGGTGGAACACTTTTAAAACACATTTGCAACAACTGCACATGAAAAGGAAACATTCCAGTTTAGATTCAGAAGAAAATACTTTGCATGACTGACATGATGACATTTCATCCAATCTCAGAAATATTTTATTGAGATACTACAGAGGTGCGTTCCATCACAAAAGAAAACAGTTAATTGGCCCAAACTGATTCTATTTTGTTGAGATACTTTCTATCTTGGTACTTTTTAGATCAATTTTGTTCATTTTCTGTGCAAATTATAGACAAATATATCAGTGGGGCGGAACACATCCCCGTCAAGAATTGCCCCACAAATAATTGGATGAGAGAGAGAGCGACAGAGAGAGAGAGACAGAGAGAGAGAGAGAGAGAGAGAGAGAGAGAGAGAGAGAGAGAGAGAGAGAGAGAGAGAGAGAGAGAGAGAGAGAGAGAGTACATCTTTCTAAGTTACAATCATAATAGAGAATTCTGAGTCAAAAGCAGTTATAATTCAGATCAGGCCTAAACAAACGATCAACATTTGTTTGCAGGGTTTATTCCACTGGCTCTGATATAAAGTGTGATGGTGTCCTACTGGGATCCCTAATCTATGGATACTTACTTGGATAGCGATAGTAGAAATCATTTTCAGCATCAGAATGTTCCATAGATGTGTTGAAGTGCTTGTTAAACTTCTTTGCATCCGTGTCCTCATCGTACTCCACCAGCACGCCAAAAAGGATGATGAGGATGATCTCCAGGATGAAGCAGGTGATCGGCAGCTTCAGCCGCATGTTGGTGCTGGAATCTGTCATGTTCTGGTCCTGGCTGGATGAGGAGCAGAGGCTAAAGGAGGCTTGGTATTCTTGAAAGATCCAGGACAGATAGTTGGACCAGCACTGTCCCACTCACAACGACCCTGGGGTGTTGTCAGCGCAGAGGCTGGAGCGCGTGAATGCGTGTGAGGGTGGAACAAGAAGCTTGCAAACACCAGAGCTTTACATGTGTGTTTTTGTTCAGCTGGGTCACACCTACTGGAAGAAAAAAGGGCTGTCATGGTTAGTCCAGCCCTCCAGGAGGATTTTAAGGTAGACTGATGTGCTTCGGCTCACTTTTGTGTCAAGAAGCTATGAAGATAGCATGAGTCTTGTGGTTTTTATTCACTGTCACATGAAGCAAAAAAACATGAATTTTCAGTCTTCAAAGGCTAACTTTAATGAATCAGATTCAGCAATAAAGTCTCAAAAGAATGATTTCGTCCCGGAGACTCATTTGAACAAACCAGTTTGCAAACGATGGATCAACAGTTTTTATTTTTTAGAGATGTTTCTTTTAAGTGTTCTTCTGCATTTTTATAGTGAAGAATTGGGCTGCATGGCAGTGCAGTTAGTCACTGTTGCATCACTGCAAGAAAGTTGCAGGTTCAAATCCTGACTGATCTTTTTGAGCTTGCATGCACTCCCACCCTTTTCCTTTTTCTTTAAATTTCTTTCACTCTGCTTGCACAAGGTAGCAATTCTTTCTTCCTGTTAAAGCTACGGTACATGATTGTGTTTTCTTTGTCAGATCATTCTGTTCATGTTTGCTTTTCTGTTGCCTTTTGGCATACTATGTTTAATATAGACCAAGTATCTCCACCTTCTTTTGTTTTTGAGAAGTGAAGCCACAGTATCCCACTTACAGGAGCTGCCATTTTGGTTTTTGGTACATCAGCCTTTACATCCCACCTATTTCTTCTATCAAAGTAACTAAATAGCCAAATATTTCAAATATATTATACATACTTTACTTAATAGCAATGATCAACAGAAGTGACCACTTGAAAACATGATCAAATGTTTTTTTTTTTTCCCTTAAACTTCAGTTTCTTGGTTCTGGTTGGATGTGTAGAAACTAAATGCCTCGGAAAAGTTTTTAAACAATATTTTAAGCAATCATTTCCACGTTTGTTAATATTAAAGATCAAGTGTTCTCCAAAAGGAATGAATGCCTTGCAAGTCATCTGCGGGGATATAAAGATCTGATGCGCCTGTTTGATAACGTAGAAGTGAGCTGGAGAAGAAAGTTGCGGCAGACGACAGGATTTGCAGTCTTGTTTCCTGGTATTTGGATGCCTGGCCTTAGATTAGCTAATAGCAACTCGACTCTAAGATTTCTCTGTTTGTCTTGCAATGTTGATGTTTTATCTCTGCAGATAACACAAGCCTGAAGGAGTTCTGCTGTGTGGTGGAGTAGCTAATGCTACCAGTTAGCTTCTACTAGCTGAGATGTTCTTGGCTGTTTCCTGGAGGCTAAAAAACAACAGCCTTCCCTCTCACGAACCAAGATGGGTGAGCTCATGAACGTTAAGTGACAGTGTGATGTAGATTTGTCAGGCTTTTCTGAACTGAGTGTTCCTCCACGTATTTTTTATCAGACGCTAATGCAGGAGATAGGTGACCTTCAGTCTGCATGCTACACTCAAAGTGAGTAATCGTTTTCAAGTCAGAAGTAGTTTCTCATTGAACCTGGTTTTTAATAATAACTGGTGCTGTATTTTATATAAATGGAAAGCCTGATTAGTTACCTTTTTGATGAGCTACAGCTTCTGAGGATTACCTGTAGACACAGCCAAACATTCATGTGAACCCCAGCAAGAGAATTTTGCTAAATACACACTCATCACCCCGCTTCTCCTCCAGCTTCACTGGCTGCCAGTCAGTTTCAGGGTTCATTTCAAGATCCTGGTTCTGGTCTATAGGGCCTTACATGGACAAGCACCATCTTACATTGGTGATCTTCTTAGTCCCTACACCTCCAGCAGGTCCCTGAGGTCCAGTGATCAAAGCCTACTGGTTGTGCAGCACCAGGCTAAAGACCAAAGGTGACAGATCATTTGCTGCTGTGGCCCCCAGACTCTGGAACTCTCTCCCCCTGAGCCTGAGATCAGTGGACTCAGTGGTCTCCTTTAAAAAGCAGCTGAAGACTCACTTGTTCAACGTGGCTTTTGTATGACCTTCTTCACCACTCTCTCTTTATTCTGCTCTCCCCACCTATTCCACCTTCCTCAGTATCCACTGATTTCCCTCTTTCCTATTCACTCTCTCTCTCTTTCTTAACATTTTTTATCACAATTGTCTATTTTTGCTCATTTTAAATACATTTTTAAACATTTTCTAAATGCTTTTTTATATTTTTACATTTTTTGTTTTTGTGAAGCGCCTCGTGATTTTTATCTTGAGAGGCGCTATAGAAATGATATTTTCTTCTTCTTTTTCTTCAGCCGAGCCTCGTTTTAGCAGGCATGAAAACCCAAAACAGTGGTGTTACAGATTATTATAATAAGACAAGATCAAAGATGTTCTATTGTTTCCATGTCAGCCGACATACTGGTAGCAACAAACTGACACCACAACAGCATAGACCATTTACTGTACCGGTTATGTTAAAGCAGGATGTGGGAGAACACAGAAGGGCTGAAGGCTCAGCAGTGAATACCAGAGCTGCGGGTTGGGATCCTCTTTCCCCTTTACGTTTCATCACCTACAACTGAGGATTGCTGTATAGTCACTGACACTAGTCAGTGACTTGATGCAATTTGCTGGGTTCCTTATGTAGGACACATTATTTCTGATTGGCTTAATGAACTGTGAATTGGAATGTTTATTATGTGAAGTGCCTAGAGACGACTCTTGTCGTGATTTGGCGCTATATAAATAAACTTGAATTGAATTGAATTGAATTGAATTGAATTGAACTGTTTCTGCTTTTTCTTTTAAAACATAAGAGAATGTTGTTATGATTTGGGGGAGTTTAAACTTTCACCCCATCGGACTGACTTTAAAGAAAAGTAGAGATGAAGTTAGGTGGAACTAACCTGGGTCTGGCTTCCCTTCACCAAGTCAGTTTATTTATCAGTTAATCTGTGCTCGGCTTCTAGTTTTGTAAGGAAAAAAAACATTAATGATGTCTAAGATTGACTAAAAAAAATTAGACATGAATTGTTGAGAGTTGCACTCTTCTTGAACTATTCCAGGATGTCCAAAGTATAGTTGTGGGTCCGTGTGCGACCCTCGACTGTGATTCCAGTGCAGGTTTGTAGATGCAGATGCTTTTAAAAACATGTTTAAATTCAGATTTTGACTAAAGTGAGGCCTAACAAACTGCAGATAAACATTGTTTAAATAGAGCAGGTTAAGTCCAGCACAATAAATTAATTATACTTTTATTTATTTTAAGAACAGTCAGAACAATCTCTCCATCAGATCCAGTAAAACTGATGCTTTTTTACATTAAGTCAAACATGTGACACATTTAACACCTGGTTCCCACTGGAGACATCAGTGGTGCAGAACGTCAGAGGGACAGTTTACTCACGTGGTTTGTGGCGCATGAATCCATAGACATTATTTCCTGCTATTTCAGATGTTAATGTTATTTTCTCTCCAAGCGTTTTTCTCTTCAGAAGAAGCTACAACGGTGCTCTGCCAAGCTGTGGCGCGTTTACTAAGAAATCACAATGTAGCCACAGAAATAGTACTCGGTATATATGTTATGCATGTGTGTGTGTGTGTGTGTGTGCGTGTGTGTGTGCGTGTGCGTGAGTGCGTGCGTGCGTGCGTGCGTGCGTGCGTGTGTGTGTATGTGTGTGTGTGTGTGTGTGTGTGTGTGTGTGTGTGTGTGTGTGTGTGTGTGTGTGTGTGTGTGTGTGTGTGTGTGTGTGTGTGTGTGTGTGTGTGTGTGTGTGCACGTGCTCTGTCTTCTCCATCCCCAGTGAGTCGTGGTGGATGGCTGCTTATACTGAGCCAGGATCCTCTGGAAGTTTCTTCCTGTCAAAAGGGTGTTTTCCTCTCCACTGTCGCTAAATGCTTGCTTAGTATGAGGATTGAAGCAAAAACTCTGACACCAGTCAGTGACTCGATGCAATCTGCTGGGTTCCTTATATAAGAAACTTTTTACTGACTGGCTTAATGAACTGACCTGTATTGGAATGTTTACTTTGTGAAGTATCTTGAGGCGACTCTTGTCGTGATTTGGCTATAAATAAATAAACTGAATTGAACTGAATTGAAATCCACACCAAGGAGTTTCAGCCGCAGAGAGACATCCAACATTATCCTCACTGTACTTTCAAGATCACTAAATGCCTTGAGATTTCAAGGATCACGGTTTGTTTATGCTATCGGCTAAAAGAAGACAAAGGAGATCATGTTTGATCTCATATAGAATGCTGCTTGTCTGCAGTGCCAGGATTGAATCCTTGAAACACACACCGTTGCACTTCACACAAAAAAATTGTAGTAAATAAGCCGTCAGGTCACACGTATAGATGTAATCTGAGAAATCACATCTCAGCAATATACTTTTATTTTGACAATAACTGGACGTTTTACACTAAAACTGTGCATGATCTCCTGTATAGCCCGATGTTAATTGTGGAAATTGGTACATTCCTGAAGCAGCTCACAGCGTTTTACCAGCGCAGCACGACGAGCTGCTTCCGGGACGTGCCTGAAAAGTTCTGCGCCGCGACTGGTTTGGATCAACCGTAGACTATAATGGATTCTATTTGAAGCAGCAAAGTTCCACTGCCGTTCCACGCCACTGATGCCTCCAGTGGGGACTCAGTTTTTTACACTCTATAATTCATCTTCTATAAAAACCCACTTTGGTCCTTTCATTGAAATGTTGCATCTTTAATGTGTTGTTGTTGTGTCAATGTGAAAATTCACAAGGAAATAAAAATTGATGTTTTTCAAACTTAAAACAAAAGAAATTCAAGTAGGTCCACATCTCAGTGCATTAAATGAATTATTTGGAAAATTCATTAAAACTTTTATAAACAGTTTAACCCTCCCACTGTCCTAATGGGTGTGACCCCGTGAGCAAAGTTGACCATTGAGCAGGGTTGACGGTTTATCCCTTGGGTCCACGTGGCAGGGGTGAGGAGTGAGCACAACCTCACCCCTGCCACGTGGACCTTGAGGGATAAACCGTCAATTCTGCTCAACAGGTCCCCCATAA